AAAAAAAAAAAAAAAAAAAAAACTAAGTTCTCAGAAAAATAAGAAACAAATATATGTTATGTAACATAACAATACAAGCAACGTTTGCCTCGGAGTCATGTTCAAATTTGCAGTCAATCATGAGTGAAAAATCGAAAACCGAAAAAAAAAAAATGTTTTTTTTACGAATTTTTTTTTTCTTCCCCAGACGACGAGGGTACCGGACGTATGGGGAGATATCCGGGGGAGACGGCCGGCCCTCGGACCATTGCTAACCTAGAAAAAATCTAAAAAAAATATATGTTATTTAAAATAATAACACAAACAACGTTTGCCTTGGAGGTATGGTGAAATTTGTAACCAAACTCGAGTTGAAAATAAAAAACTGGAAAAAAAATAAATAAATTAGAATATGTTCGATCGAACACGTTCGGGTGGCGTTCGGCCGAACACCCGAACATATTCGAACGTTCGAAAAAGCTCTGAACATGTTCGGTGTGCTACACAGATTTCTAATATTATCCTGCGCTCGACAGGCAAGGGCATTACCGTTTGTTTTGTGAAACTGATGGAAATGTACATACGAGTATTTCGGTGTACAACACACACTAGTGCTTCGCTCGATGAATGCGACGCTTTGATCACGGACTTCATAACGACCATCAAAGCAAAATTGAGAAAATATCAACCATCAACATGGAAACTCCGCAAGTTGCACGATCTCATGCATCTGACAACGTGTATTGAGCGATCCGGTGTCCCCGACACCTTCGCGACAAATGTTTGGGAGCATCACCACAAAAAATTCTGCAAACAGCTATACTTGTCATCAAACAAGCGAAAAACTTCAACCCAGATGGTAAACCACGTACGCTGGTCATTGGCGTTGCGGGAAGAGATCGGGATCGTGAGGAAACGGAGTAAGAGAACGGTTGAGAACCGGTCGTCCGTGACAGACTGTATGGCCACCGGAATGAACACCCTCGCACTACGTGATACAGCAATGCTGCAACTGCGGTGGTTCGACATCGATGACGAGTACATACGCGAGGGAGAAGGCATTGACAACCATGCGTGTAAGATACTCAAAGAGTTTCCTTGCAGACGCGATTTTCGAGCTGCGCTTATGACATACATGGTGGAGAATGGTTGTCAACCTCCTTCTGACGACCTGCTTATACACATACAGACACACCATCGTCTGCGTACAGGACGGAACAAACAGGGGCACACTTGTTCAAACTGCAAGAGCGTCGCCACAAATCCATGGGAGACCAATGCACAGTGACGTCGCAATTAGAGCAGGCAAGAATGCACATGGTTTGCATCAGTAGCCATGTTTTTTGTCATGGACGCACGCGCAGACAACGGTAATATGAAACACAAGTGCGGATTTGTGCAATGGTACAAGGAGGTCGACAGTGAACGGCAACACGTGACAGGTTGCAGGAAATTGAAA